TCGCGTGCTCGCCTCGCTCTCGCGAACGCCCATGTTTTCCAAATGAACGAAAAGAAAAATGAAGCAAGGTCTGTGTACAGGCTCACTTCTTCAAAATCTGTACCCCCACAGTGCACATTACGCCACGAGGTGTTGGTATTTGCACACGGCAATAGGAGGTTAAGTGAAGGGGTATACTAGGCTTGGCGTATCTGGAGTACATGTTTGGCCACCAGGTTTGGCTCGTCATATCAATCCTCTCAAAGTTAGACTGTTCACAGTCCTCTTTTCTCCGTAAGACGCTGATTGGAGACTTTGCGTTACTGGCGGTCATCTTGGTTGAGTGTCAAATCTACACCGCTACACGACGCCCGCACCTCGATACATATGAAACCCTGACGGCCGCCCGTGCCACTAGCGCTCGATCCTGACGATCTTACGAAAAAATAGGGGACTGTGAACAGTCTACCTCAAAGTTAAATGATCGGTGGTACACTTTTTAGCTCATGGATGACGTAGTCATGCCATGGGCTTTTGGAGGCACTCGAATGGCACTCGATCACTCACTCACTCACTCACTCACTCACTCACTCACTCGATTGTCATTAATTTATTCATTAAAGTCAGATTAAACACGTTACTCCTACCTCCCTTACTTAGTATTACTTTTTTTTCAAGTGCCTTTTACGTATATGTTTGGAATATTCTAGAGGGTACTAGTAAGGCGAATTTTTTTCCCGACACATCAGTTATAGAGAAGGGTTTTGCATAAATAACAATATTTTAAAGAACACTGATAATATCATCCGCAAGAAATGGACTTAGAATTGTTAAAAGGACATTGAAATAATTGAGCGTGGATCATTGTTGTATATTTGGAGGAATTGTGCACATTTGTTCCCGATATTGTACTTGATATGGAGAAGATGCGATCAACAGGAGTGTGAAAGAGCTATTGCAGCCTGACGATGGGATTTCGTTCAATGCAAAGCGAATAAGCCAAAGAGCCTTATAATCGCTGCAAAAAACTGTCCTCGAATTGTTAAAGGGACATTGAGGAGTATCTATTGAGGTTTATTCAGTTATTTGGACGAATCCGTTCGACCATTTGTCTTCGTATGCAAACAGGGAATCACAGGCAGCCCAAGCGCACTATTTGTGGGTTCGGGCTTCAGAGGTCATTTGGTGGGAAATACTAGAATTATTAGTGTATTATCTGACGCCAAATAAATGCAAAAAGTCTTAAAGATATGAAGTCTTCTTGTTTGTCTATCGGTACTAGTAGCCTTTAAGATAACGAAAATCGATATTTCTTGCATTATTACATGCGATTCGGGCCCTTATTGATCGAATTTTATCACATGTATTCGAATGTACAACGCTAAGGGAAAAAAAATCATGATCACGCGAAATATTGATTCAAAAAGCTCCCTTACCTTTCGTTCATAGCCACTCTGTGTCCTACGGCTGGTTTAAACGCCGTTTAGTCGACTTTCTTTCCATCGAGTACTGAACACTATAAAAGAACTCGATGGAAAGATCTTGCTTTGTAAGTAGAAATGCTGCGCTGATAAAAAGTTTCTAGAATATTCAGGTACACATGCAATCGGATACTTCGAGTCACGCTGGATTTTGGCAAGTCCGTACACCATGAACAGTTCAAAAAGATTTATATGTTTTCCTTTGATTATTGAACTGTCTTTTCTACACTAATTCAATTCATCCATGAGCTCGCTCCTAGGAGCCTTTGATTACCCTTCACAGGCGGCCCAAGCTCGGTGCATAAATTACAGCATGTTTTGATCCTTTTTTGCACAGTACGAACGATTCCAACCGGGAAAACGGGCCCACCTTTTAGATTTTCCACTTTTTCTGGGAATTTTCCAGTGGGACGAACCGAAGAAACGTGTTCCATTCACCGACGAACCGGAAATTCCGGAAGTTTTGACTAAATGGAGAGCGACCCTGGAACGAGTCATTTTGAATGAGCGTCCCCCTGCCCCACTTAAGAAAGCAGTCAAAAATAGGGTACAATACCATGGGGAACGTTGTAATAGAGGGCAATTCATAGCACTGTGGAATACCACGTTTTAAAATCGTATATAATCGACTCTCTAGGACCCACAAACTATTTTATCACGCATTACACGAAAAAACCTAAAATTTTTAGTGATATGAGCTGTTCTTTTAGTTTCTGAATGGTGATTTTGCAGTATTTCGTATCCGTGGTGAAGTTAACTTGCAAATCTGTCACCGAACCACCATGGTGCAGCAATGGCTAAAATCATTCTCCCGTTACCAATCTGGATTTATCCTTCAGAATTGCCTCTTGGTCCCATTGTTTATCAGAAAGTGGTTTTGTGACGGGTTTATGGATGATTGAGACCATTGGCGGTAGACCTTACTTGATCCATCTTACTTGAAGTGGTCTCAAAAGTTAATGACCTAAGGCAGGCTTGACCTTCGTTCATGTAATCTACTTTTTATTGCATCAAGGCTTAATGCCCAGTCTGATAGTTTAGTTTCATGGCATCGAGAACCTGGTGCCACAGCTGTTGATGATTTCAGTATTACCTGGGCTAATTTAATTGTTACGCTTTTCCTCAGTTTTAGTCAGCTGTCTCGACTTTCGGCCAAAGAAAAAGGTAACCAAAACATGTCCTAAGCCGTCTTCGCCATGCATCTCTGTACGGTTTTATTTGCAGTCACTCGTAAGAAAGCCACTGATGTTATAAAGACTCCTTCTACTCACTGCGCCGCCTTATTAACCCCTGTTGGCTCGGATCTCAATGACGGAATAAAAATAAAACAACGCTGTAAAACCTACTTAGGCAGCAGAATGAAGTGAAATGCCCATAGTAACTTAGTAGATGTCATGAATGGAGTCTTTCCTTCAAAAGAACCTTTTTCAAATGATGAATATCTAATTTTGGGTGCAAACTTAAGTCGATATAGATTTTCTCGCCGTTGGCAAACTAACCAAAACAACTTTTCCAGTGGCTTATGAAGCCAAAAAAGGACGTCTTACCTTCTCGTTTTATGTGATAAAAAGGTTCACGCAAATATTTGTAAAAGTTTATCAAAAAATGAAAAATGAAAGGGTGTTGGAATCTTGTTATAATCTTTTTTACTACCAGTTATCATCTTCGGCCGGACTTACTCTTCTCTGAAGCCACCCCTCTTCTATGAAGGGTGTTTTGAATTTTCTTATCACCGATGCAATCGATAGTCAGTTCTGTTAAAGCTCTTTAGAAAGCTAAACTCCGGTGGTGAAAAGGTTTCCAAAACGTTAGTTGTGCTTAATTATTGACTTAAACCTACTCTATTATGTCAAAAAATAGATTTTCTTTCAAAAAAACACTTTTTTTAAAGACATGAACCGTTTAATACTAACAAAATGAGACATGCTATAATTCTCCGAAAAGAAAATGGGTCCTGCTTAAGTCGAATCGGCGTACAATATTGCTTGTAATCAAACTGATAAAATACAATTTAATTTCCTTTTAGTGATGTTGGAAAGATTGTCGACCCTTTATTTTTTTACGGCACGATTTTAATTGGGTACCAAGGTCACACATGTACAAGATGATTCTTAAGTTAAAAAAGCTGACAAACATTGTTTTAAAGAATAATACAAAGAATGGTAAAAGAGGGTCAAAAACGAGATTCATCCTGTGCAGATTCACCTGATCGGGTTTCGGAATCGGCACCTGATCACAGTAGTATCCGTAATAAAGAGGTTAAGTTTATATGAAATTACTCTCTGGGGCCGAGATTTCGTGTCCGTTGTCAGTATTAGAGAGAGTCGGTATTATGGAGGGTTTTTTTAAGAAAATATATGAGAATTTCTTGGGACATTGGAAACTGTGCGTAATAGAGAGGAGTCCGTATTAGAGAGGTGTCCGTACCGAGAGGTTCGGCTGTATTCTTTTCTACCACTAATTATCATGTGAAAGGTTTAAATCCAGGAGTCATTTCAAAAGTAGGTTGAGTTTCATCGTCCTAGTAAACGTAGTCCTGAATAGAACTGTTGTTGTTGACATTGACTAATGTTTCGACAACCTGTGCGGTCATCTTCAGAGTCAAGGTAAGTTGTATCACGTCAGTTGATGGTATTATACTCTGGTTATAGAGCAAAACTCTGGTGGTAAAAAGGTTACTTTCCAAAATGTTAGTTTTCTTAATCATTGACTTCAAAATACTCGGTCATTTCAAAAAAAAAATTCTTTCAAGAGAAAACCGTTTTTAAAGGCATCATTTTTGACACTTTCAAACTGCGACATGCTATAATTCGTCGCTAGTACTCTCTAGCTAGGGTGGATCCCACTTTAGTCAAAGCGGCGTACAATGTTGCTTGTCCTCAACCTAACGGAAGCACTTTAATAACTTTATGCTGTGCTAATGATGTTGCACAGAGTGTGGACCAGTTTACCACGGCTTTCAGCGGATACCTAGGTCACGCATGTAAAAGATAACTGTTAAGTTATAGAAACAAATACGAGCTAAAAAATAAAGTTCTAAAGAATAATATAATGAATGCTAACCTGAGAATAGAATGATGAATGGTGAAAGAGGGTCAAAAATGTGACTCTACGTACCGCGTCACAAAAAGCCTTTCCCCTTAATAAAAAAGGAGTTTTAAAGTGCTACTACGATCAAATTTGGGAATTAGTCTTTGATTAAATATTTCGAAAATGTATGTAAAAGTGACTTACCGTGCCAAGTTTGGAGTCCAAATATGATCTGGAAGTGTGTTTATTTGCACGGCAATTTTCGTAAATGTCTTGCCGCCATTACTCGATTCAAAAAATGACCGGGAGTAGTATTTGAAGGAGTTGGGGCGAGATGTGACGTAGAAACATCAACGCGACAAAACAAGGTAAACAAACGTGGTTAATTTCGCATGCAGGACGAGATATTTTTGGAAGCTTTTGGAGGTTCTTTCTTCGCTTTTCTGACTTAAAGCGAAAGTATGCCTGGTAGACGTTGTGTTGTTCAGGACTGTGGAAACGTAAAGAACGATGAATTCTCCTGATTCGGGCAGCGTTAGATTAAAGTGGAAAAGGTTTGTGTCCATTCATCGGAAGGATTTCAACACAGTGGGAAGATTTGCTGTGTGCTCGGAGCATTTTACAAGGGATTGTTTTACGCTTGCTTTTCCGATGAAAGGCCTGAAAAGGAATTTGAAGAAGGGGACGTTTCCAACCATTTGGAAAAAATCCTCTCAAACACTATCAAAGCGGAGTCGACGATAGGTGAGCGAAATTACAATGTATTTGCGCTGTGCTTATCACCATTTATTTATTTCCCCATTTACCTGTGACATGATTTTTTCTGGCATCGTTGTTCAATATTCGTGTAATGAATGCTCTGACTATTTGGACTTCCCATATTGTTGCATGTGTTTTCATACTTTTCTGCTTTCTTCTCATGGTTATAGTAAAACGGGCATTTGCGCTGAGTGGACGTGAAGTCAATTCCCCAATTCCCAGACCTTTCCACTCAAGCGTAAAATTTAGAAAAAGTGAAGCTACATAGAAATCCGGCTCTCTATTTTTTGAGAGATTATCTTGCTGTTACTTTGAGATTTGACAGTACTCCAAACTTCGCTCCAAGAAATCTTACAGCAAATTAAGAGTTACACGCGAGTCTTTTAAAACGACCAAAAATGGACTTAATCTGATTTCTACATTCTATAAGTTCAGTTACTGTTTGCGGTTTTTTTTTCGTTTGTATTTTAATTCTATTTTCACTGTCTGCAAATGATGCATACATTTTAAGGCAAAGATGTGGTTAAACCTTGCTTCCATTTCTACTTTTGAAAACATCGACATAAAGCTCAAATTTAAACTTGTTTTGAAGGGGAGATATAAAAAATGGTCGTACCTATTTTCATTTTTAGCTACTAAATGAAATTCTGGCTGGTCAAACTACTAATGAGGATACAGAGGAAGAAGACTATCCTGAAGAAGAGGTGATCTCTTTGAAAGGAAGTTCTGCACCTGAGGAGAGTGCTGACACTATGGGGGCTCCCAATCTCAACCCTGAGGAGTCTCCACAAGTCGAGGGTGTTCTGAACACATGTCAGGGTTCTTTGCTTGAGGTAAATCCTGAAAAGGAGGGCTGCACCCCTGAGACTGAGATGGGTGAGATAAGTGTTGATGCTGAGATGGCTTCAGAGGTCCTAGGTACTCCTGGTGATAAGACAACTCTCGAGAGCCAAGGGATTTCCGGCACTGATGAGGTTACTGAGACCATGCAGATCCTGGAGGCTCAGGGAATCGAAAAACTGTAGGATATGGATGAAGTTATGCAGATTGATGAATCATTAACGATTCCTGAACTTGAACAGGTTTCTATGGTAGGCGCGTAACTCTAATTAATGTCTATTTGCATCTTTGTATTATCATAACAATGGAAAACTACATGGGCAGTTATTTTACAACAATACTAAAACACAAAAATTCTGAAGTCTTGTTATTACAGCCTGTATTAATGTTGAAAGTTTGGTTTTTGTAGGATACTCCAACTGGACATGCTGGGAATTGCACAACATGCAAAACCCTGAGGAGTGAGGTGACTCAGTTAAAGGGCAAAGTCACAAGACTGAAGAGTAAGTTAATCTCCAATCAAGATCAGTGGGTTGAAACCTTTAAGAGCATACAAGAGCCGAAGCAGTTGCTGATGGTGAATGCTGGTGAGTCAACAATAATTGATGTTGATGAGTCATATAGGCATAACTGCCTATCTTTATATTTGTATTACATTTTATCAATATTTGATTATTTAATAATAATTAAAATTTTAATGGTAATAGAATTTTTTTAATTCCATTTGTTTAAGCTATTCAAACTGATCCATGGCCAGTAACAAATGAGACAGAGTTAGGGCTAGAGGATGAATCAGAAGATGAGCAGGAAATGCAGGACGACGCGTATGAGGAGTTTGAGTGTGATGAAAACCCTACATGGAGTCCTGAAGAAATCGAAGATGCATATAAAAAACTAAAGGAAGATGATGACTCGGTGAAGACTCATCAGAACCCAAGGTACAAAGATGCAAAATTTATTGCATTTTAACATCTTAGCTCTAAGTATCCTCTGGGAAGTGATTTAGGCCTAAAACTAACTTCCATTATGAGAGGATCTATTTAAAAACAAGAGTACATGAAATTTGTTTTTTAATTTACTAAGATTAGAATAAGATAATAAATAATAAATTATGTATCGTTGGGGTGGGCTAGATAGCCTAAGGGCTCAAAGTTGTCATGTGTGCAATCAACAGAATTATTATAAAAAAGCATTTTTCAGGATGTATGTGAGAATAAAATCCCAACCCACGATTAGCCAGGTTTACAACAAGTTGAAAAACTGGCAACACCCTTAGAAAAACAATAAAAATGATAATCATTTCATTTTTTTTTTAATGTTATTTTATTATTTCAGATGCTATGATTAAATGAGTATTTCCTTTCAATCATTTTTTACAGGTTGGATCTACAAGGAAAAAACAGTCGAGAGGAACCGAAGAGAATTGTTTTCCTTTCCAAACTTCTTCTTTTGTTTCAGTTCTGCCACTTGTGCTTCTTTTCAAAACCCAAACTTTCTGTATCACAGACAGGTACCTTGTTAACCGTAGAAAGTTTCTGCAGAAACTGTAGCCAGACAAAAGTATGGAAGAGTCAACCAGACCTGCTAGGAAAGTTTCCAGCAGGTAACCTGCTATTAAGTTTTGCAGTGCTCTGTGAGCCGAGTGAAAAGAAAGAAACGATACATTAAAACTGTAATTAAATTCAGGCTGAATTCGATTTAATTTTTATTACTTGTGTACATGAAAACTGGAGCAACATCAGAATTCCCAGCCACTAAACTTGAGTTTAACTGAACGCTAGAAGAACAGGGCTTCACACAGTGGGCAAGTTTGTCATTCAACAAAAAGCGAGTAAGTGGCTGAGAATTCTGAAGTTTGGCCCATAAAATTAAGTGTTTACGGACAAGTATTCACGCAACTACTGTAGGTCCTTCTTGGCCCCAATGGCATACATAACACTCTTCAAGAACAAACAGTGCATTTATTATTCATTTTCTTCATCTTCGAATCCACGATAATGGCCATTTTGACTCGGACATTGTTTCCTGATTTTATTGTAGGCAGAACAGGGCAAGGGGTATCGCCTGGAACTACCAATATAACTCCACAGCAGTCTTGTAAATTGGCGATAGGCCACAGACCTCAGCTAGAGAAATGAGATCACTGTTAATTCAAGGAGGGATTGGATGGAGATAAATAAATACTCCTTTTAAAAATAAGCAGTTGGGGCAATAAAGCCATTTAGAAAATAAAAAATGTGATTCTATGAGATCAGTCCAGGGCGATAAGCTTAGATGTATCAATTATTCAATGCTATGTACGGTTCGATCGTTCCGATACAAAGTCAACAATACCCCAACTTACTCATTATCACTTTTGTTGCTTTGCCCACGAACAGTTGTGTACGACTTTCCAGCTCGCGTTTTTAGGCCCAGTGCAGCCACTTCTAATACGTGGCGGTTTAAGCAGACGCTTTCAAACCCTGGATGGAGGGTTATGCATAAGGTCCGGTCTCCAATGGCTTCTTCCATGACCTCTTCGCAGCGATCGATCTCTTTGTAGCAAATGCACTCCTGCGCTTTTGTAACAAGGCTGACAGAGCAGTTCGAGCACGAACACCTGCAAAATAATGTGAAAAATTCGTCAAACACAAGAAAAATACGTCTGTATAAAATTATTAATTGTCTGACCTCTTCAATAAAACTATCGCATAAAATCAGGACTACAGTTAATCACATAGCAACGAAATTGTAAACTTAAACAAAACACACAGTCGCGTTCGTCACGCGCACGATTTAACGACGGGTATGTTAAAATTGGAAAATAAAAATATAAATCTACATTCCATGATAATACCATACCATTCATTCGCTGGCACCTCTCCCGAATATCTTCGCTGAAACTGTTGTTTCTCTTCTTCTTCGCGATGAACTCTTTCGTTGTAGTCCGCGGATTCTTCCTCGGTAGCAAGGGGTTCGCAACTGTCGTCGTACGGCGCAAATTCAGACAATTCCCCCATCACTTCGTCAACTGTAAAACTTTCTAGATCACTTTCAGATGTGCAGGAAGAGGAATCCGACGGAGATGACATCTTAAACGTCTTGTTAAAAGGCTCTAAACTCACCAACTTTTCCAAATGCGAATCTTTTGGTTGATGTTTCTACGTCACAGTGCGTAAATCACGTGGTCAAACGCACGACCGCTTTGCGGAGATCTCGCGGGCTATTGCTTTGCGAACTTTGTAATGGCGGACGGTATTTACGCACTTTTCAGTGGGAAATTTCCAGCCCCCGTACGCAAGTATCGTTTCAATTTTTCGCTATTTGTATAATTTTGAACATATACAAAAGATTTATGTTAAAAAAATTCGGAAACAAAAACAAAAATTTTCGTCGTAGTAGCACTTTAAGGGAAATAGATCTTTCACAGTTTAGCCTTAAAAATTGCTACATTTGAATGTAAATAAAGTCAATTCTCGTCGAAATATGTTTTTTTAGAAAATCGAGAAGACAGCTTTGTAAGCAGCTTGAACGTTTAAATCGTAGTTGTCAAAGGAAGCACAACGTTCAACAGACAGTCACTATTCTTTTCTAACACCGAGTATCATCTTCGGGCCTTATTCTTTCCCGAAGCCACCCTTCTTGGTGTATAAAGTTTTCATTTAAATTTACTCCAAGTTTACAGAAAGGTAAACATCGGTGGTGATTAGGTGTCAAAATCGTTAGTTTTTCTTTTTATCAGTAGATTTTTTTTCACAGTTTCCAGTCCTGGAAAGAATGTCCACACACCCAAGTCACCGTTATATATGCGGATAAAAAGTACACGCATCAAAGCAAGTTCAACTTCTTTTACCTTCTAATAACAAATAAACTAAGATATGGATTGATTCACACAGAATAATTCAATGAAAGGTGAAGGAGGATCATAAACGAGGTTCTACTAACCACGTCCATTAAGAAGCCTTTTCCCTTATTAATAACAAATTTAAATGGGTTATTTTCAAAGATTTCGCTAAGAATTCACCAAACGTATACAAGAGAGAAATGCTTCTCCCAACACGGTTTTTCAGAAAATGGAGGAGTTCAGATGTTTGACTCGTTGAAACGGTTTGAGTAGAATAGAAAAGCAGCATTTAGCCGAATGTTCTATTTTACCACTAGTTATCATCTTTGACCGTTCGTATTCTTCTCCGAAGGAAACCGTCTTTGTGTATCAAGAATTTTTGTTTATTCTCAACCATGCAATCAACAGTCTTTCTGTTAAAGATGACAGAAAGCTAAAAACTGGTGGTGAATAGGTTACTTTCCAAACTGTTAATTTTCTTAATCATTGACTTCAAAATACTCGGTCATGTGGAAAAAAGAAATTTTTTCCAGAGAACACCATTTTCAAAGGCATCATTTTTTGATACTTGCAAACTGCGACTTGCTATAATTCGTCGCTAGTACTCTCTAGGTTGGATCCCGGTTTAGTCAAAGCGGCGTACAATATTGCTGTTTTTAACTTAACGGAGACACTTTGATTTCCCTTTATGCTGTGCTATTGATGTTGAAAAGAGTGTGGACCCCTTTACCACGGTTTTCAGCTGATGCCAAGGTCACGCATGTCCAAGATATCTCTTCCGTTATAGCAACAAATAAGCTCAAACTAAAGTTCTAAAGAATATACAATGAAAGGTAAAAACTTGAGAATAATTTGATGAATGGTAAAAGAGGGTCAAAAAGGTGACTCTACGCACCGCGCGCCACGAAAAGCCTTTCCCATTAATTAAAAAGGAGTTTTAAAGGAAATTGATCTTTTACAGTTTAGCCTAAAAAATTGCTACATTTGAATGCCTGAATAAAGTCAATTCTCGTTGAAATATGTTTTTTAGGAAAATCGAGAAGATAGCTTTGTAAGCAGCTCGAACGTTTAAATCGTTGTTGTCAAAGGAAGCACAACGTTCAACAGACAGTCACTATTCTTTTCTACCACCTAGTATCATCTTCGGGCCTTATTCTTTCCCGAAGCCGCCCTTCTTGGTGTAGAAAGTTTTCATTTAAATTTACTTCAAGCTTACAGAAAGGTAAACATCGGTGGTGATTAGGTGTCAAAATCGTTAGTTTTTCTTTTTATCAGTAGATTTCTTTTCACAGTTTTTTTATCCTGGAAAGAATGTCCACACACCCACGTCACCGTTATATGCGGATAAAAAGTACACGCATCAAAGCAAGTTCAACTTCTTTTACCTTCTAATAACAAATAAACTAAGATATGGATTGATTTACACAGAATAATTCAATGAATGGTGAAGGAGGATCATAAACGAGGTTCTACTAACCACGTCTATTGAAAAGCCTTTTCCGTTATTAGTAACAAATTTAAATGGGTTATTTTCAAAGATTTCGCTAAGAATTCACCAAACGTATACAAAAGAGAAATACTTTTTGCAACACGGTTTTTCAGAAAATGGAGGAGTTCAGCCGTTTGACTCGTTGAAACAGTTTGAGTAGAATAGAAAAACAGCATTCAACCGACTGTTCTATTTTACCACTAGTTATCATCTTTGACCGTTCGTATTCTTCTCCGAAGGAAACCGTCTTTGTGTATTAAGAATTTTTAATGTTTATTCTCAACCATGCAATCAACGGTCTTTCTGTTAAAGATAACAGAAAGCTAAAAACTGGTGTTAAAAAGGTTACTTTCCAAAACGTTAATTTTCTTAATCATTGACTTCAAAATACTCGGTCATGTGGAAAAAAGAAATTCTTTCCAGAGAACACCATTTTTAAAGGCATCATTTTTTGATAAGCTTTCAAACTGCGACATGCTATAATTCGTCGCTAGTACTCTCTAGGTTGGATTCCGGTTTAGCCAAAGCGGCGTACAATATTGCTTGTCCTCAACTTAACGGAGACACGTTGATTTTCCTTTATGCTGTGCTATGGATGTTGGAAAGAGTGTGGACCCGTTTACCACGGTTTTCAGCTCATGCCAAGGCCACGCAGCACAAGATATCTCTTTTCCGTTAAAGCAACAAATAAGCTGAAAAGTAAAGTTCTAAAGAATAATACAATCAACGGTAAAAATTTAAGAATAATTTGGTGAATGGTAAAAGAGGGTCAAAAAGGTGACTCTACGTACCGCGCGCAATGAAAAGCCTTTCCCATTAATAAAAAAGGAGTTTAGGAAATTGATCTTTCACAGTTTAGCCTATAAAATTGCTACATTTGAATGTGAATAAGGTCAATTCTCGTCGAAATATGTTTTTTAGGAAAATCGAGAAAAAAGCTTTGTAAGGAGCTCAAACGTTTGACTCGTTGTCAGAGGAAGCACAGCGGTCAAGAGACTATTCTTTTCTATCACCAATAATTATCTTCGGGCCTTATTCTTTTTTGAAGCCACCCTTCTTGGTGTATGAAGGTTTTACTTAAATTTATTTTAAGCATACGGAAAGAAAAACACCGGCGGTTATTAGGCGTCTAAATCGATCTTTCTTTTCATAGTCTCTTATTCTGGAAAGAATGTCGACACTCCTACGTCACCGTTATGTACTGATAAAAAATACACGCATCAAAGCAAGTTCAAGATTAGTTCGCCTTGTAGCAACAAATAAACTGAAACATGGATTGCCTTACACAGAATAATTCAATGAATGGTGAAAGAGGATCACAAATGATGTTCTACTAACCACGTCCGTTTAAAAGCCTTTCCCGTTATATTAGTAGCAAATTAAATGGGTTATTTTCAAAGATTTCGTTAAGAATTCACCAAACGTATAAAAAAGAGAAAAGCTACTCGAAACACGGTTTTTAAGAAAATTTAGAAGATGTCTTTGTAAGGAGCTCAGACGTTTGACTCGTTGAAACAGTTTGACTAGAAAAAGAGCATTTAACTGACTGCATGTTCTAAATTTTTACCACTAGTTATCATCTTGGAGCGGTCGTATTCTTCGCCGAATTGAAGCAAACCGTCCTGGTGTATTAAGGGTTTTTAATGTTTATTCTCATCCATGTAATCAACAGTCTTTCTGTTAAAGATTACAGAAAGCTAAACTCTGTTGGTGAATAGGTTACTTCCCAAAATGTTAGTTTTCTTAATCATTGACTTCAAAATACTCGGTCATGTCAAAAAAAAAAATTTCTTTTAAGAGAACGCCATTTTTAAAGGCATCATTTTTTGATACTCTTAAACTGCGACATGCTATAATTCGTCGCTAGTATTCTCTAGGTTGGGTTCAGCTTTACTCAAAGCGGCGTACAATATTGCTTGTCCACAACTTAACGGAGACACTTTGATTTCCCTTTATGCTGTGCTATTGATGTTGGAAAGAGTGTGGACCCTTTTACCACAGTTTTGAGCGGATACCAAGGTCACGCATGTACAAGATATCTCTTACGTTACAGCAACAAATAAGCTAAAAAATAAAGTTCTAAAGAATAAAAAATGAATAATATGATGAATGGTAAAGGAGGGTCAAAAAGGAGACTCTACTTACCACGCGCAACGAAAAGCCTTCTCATTAATAAAAAAGGAGTGTAGAAAGTTGGTCTTTCACGGTTTAGCCTAAGAATTTACTACATTTGAATGTGAGTAAGGTCCTTTCTGATCGAAATATGGTTTTTAAGAAAATCTAGAAGATACCTTAAAAAGGAGCTCAAACGTTTGACTTGTTGTTGTCAGAGGAAGCATAACGGTCAAGAGACTATTGTTTTCTATCACCAATAATCATCTTCGGGCCTTTTTCTTTTCTGAAGTTATCTTTCTTGGTGTATGAAGGTTTTATTTAAATTTATTTCAAGCATACAGAAAGAAAAACACAGGTGGTGATTAGGCATCGAAATCGTCCGTTTTGCTTTTCATCGGTAGATGTCTTTTTGTAGTGTCTTATTCTGGAAAGAATGTCGACACTCCCACGTCACCGTTATATACGACTAAAAAATTACACGCACCAAAGCAAGTTCGAGAATAGTTGACCTTGTAACAACAAATAAACTGAAACATGGATTGCCTTACACAGAATAATTCAACGAATGGTAAACGAGGATCATAAACCATATTCTACTAACCATGTCCATGGAAAAGCCTTTCCCGTTACTAGTAACAAATTTA